GTACCCTTTCGTGAGTATAGGCCGGCCGTGAAAGACATGTCTTTAAGTGCAATGCATTCTTTGACAGAAAAGGGAACTCCCAGTAATGGCATTGATTTAATGGACTTCCCGTCATCTGATGAATTCCCCGCCAATTCATGTGCAACCCGTCTGTCCACCTGTCGGGCCTCCTCTATAGCCGACTCAAACCGATCGCACACTAAGGCATTGATCAATGGATTCACGCTTTTTATGCGATCGATGTATGCGTTCACAAGTGTTTCGCTTTTGAGCTAAACGTGTGAATAAAATTTGACATTTCATTTGATTTATTATTAATTTTGAAGTGGTTGGATAAAAATTAAAATAAATATTGTAATTTTAATTCAAATATTTTAAACTATTAAAAAGATTTTAGTGTTTGCTCTTAAAGTGGTGAAAACAATTAAACCAATTGTCCTTCATACTTCTAATAAATTAGTTTACAAATAAATCAATCGCTATTGCAAATAAACATTTGCGAAAATATTGCTTATTTTATTTGTTTAATTTTGTGCAAATGTGTGAAGTAGTCTTCAATATTATTTAAATTTATATAACCTTAAAGCTAATTAATAATCATTTTAAACAGATATGTAACTTATTATTAGTAAATGCTGTCGCCTTATAGTGAAGGAAATTCCGTTTAAATAATTTATCATTTTTATGCTTTCCCTTTGATTTATTAAAAGGATATTAACATTTTTGTTAGAATCTAGAATTCATTTTATTATTTATGAAATAATAATTAACATTATCATAAAATAAAAACTTGATAACAATATGATTTCTTAATACTAATATTTTATTACATAAATCCTGAAATAATATCAATTATCCAAATTAAGATTAAATGTGAAAAATACAAAATAATTAAATTTTATGTCAATATTTCCTTATTACTCATTTGGCTGATAGAAAACAGGATATTTCTATTAAATATATTTTTATCATTTAAATATACTGTAATATTTATTGTAAATATTTCCTCAAAAATATGTTTTTCAAAATATAACCACAAAATTATATATGAAAATATTATATTAAGAAAATAACAATAAGATTCTGTTGTTTAGCAATACAGATGTTTACTCATTTGAGATAATTATAATATAATTATTATTTAATAATAATCTACATCATAAATATAAATACAATTATATAACTTATTGTATTATAATCTGCATGTATTGCACAAAATATTCACAAATTAAAAATTATAATTTACCTCAAATTATACAAAATAAAAGTCAATAATTACAGTATTCACTAATTATATTCTGAACTAGTAGTAAGTGACTTTACAATACATATACAAGTACCGGTAACATTAATATTGTACAGTAGAATAAAATTGTAAAATTTTAATGACATTTAAAATGTTAAATAGATAAACAAGAGACGGATATATTAATTGCAAACTAATAATGAAAACTCAAATGTCAACAAAATTTACATATTTAATATGTGGAAAATGTAAAGAGGATAAATATTATTGCAGTAAGTTTATGGAAAATAACTCAAAAATTCTCGTTAAAAGTAAAAGAAAGCGAAAGTCTAATCACATGCACATAGGTTTGACACATTTAGGTATACAATACCTGTCCAGATCTTATCCTATTTGCTAAGTGAACGGCCGGTTCCAGAAGTAGTCCATCAGAAAGTGGTGGCAAATATTTTTTATTCACAAAATACACGATTCCTATGCAAGAGGTGAAAAAGTCGGCAAATATTCTGATGG